ACTGGGGTAATCGGGATGGGTGTGTCAGAGGCGGTGCGGTTGGCGCAGGATAGAGCAGGGTTTAGGGCTGTTGTGCATGGGGTCGCTATGAGTCGGAAACGACTCGACGGCACATAACAACAACAACATCCAAAGTGTTATTAATTTTTTGTTTGTTTTTGTGGGGTTTTTAAAATAAAATTCTTCTTTTAAACGGGTTTACTTACAAAATTCATATACATTGTATTTCACACTATCCTTCACTCTCATTGTGTTTCATACAACCATTCCAAAGAGTTCTTTTCTAAATACAAAGTTTATCATTGATCCTATCTGTGTTATCTGTGCTTTACATGGATCCAGGAAAGTGTTTGATTGAGTTCCATAAGGCAAAATCTATCAGGGCACTTTCCTAAGTAGCTTAAAAGTTTCCAGACTCACTCATATGTTCTTTCATTCACATGACAGACACACACAGAGGTTTATCTGCCAGTGCTGCCCGACGCTGCACTGCTCTTGTTACTGAATGTACCATCGAGTGGGGTGCAACTCACGGTGACCCTGTGAGCAACAGATCCGGACCTGGCCCTAACCCCTGGCGTCCTTGCCCTCAAAGAGTTCACAGCTTTGTAGTCAAATAATTTCTCCCAGCCCAGCTAAGACAAGGGGCCATGAGCACTGATGAGCTTAACCCTAGCGGCAGGTAAGGTATTCAAGAGAGTCCTACATGGTGACCCAGGCTTGCTCACCAGCCTATCTATACTTGCTAGCGCACGTTAAAAGCACATCTTTCTAAAGCCTTCCCCCCACTGTCTGTTGTAAGGCTTCGCCTCAAATATGAATTCCACATTGTGGAGATCCTCCTTATGAGATGACATCATGTGAGATGTGGGCAGAGCGCCTCACTGCCTGCTGCCATGCTTTACAGGGTGTGACCATACGCCCTGCCGCCCAGATCCCAGCTGGCCCTGCCCTGCGAATCTTAGACGTTCCGGTGTCAGCATCTAGTCAGCGGCCAGGGCAGCCTCACCAGGCTAGTGAAAGAACCAACCTTTATTTCCCCAGGTATCAAGTGGACACCTGATGAGAATGGAGTCATTACCTTTGATTGCAGAAACCGTGGCTGGTAAGAATTCACGGAGTGGGGGTGGGGAGAAACTCTGGTCCCTGGAGCTCCTACACTCTGACCACCTACCACCAAAGGGCCTTAAATATACAAAATCCATGTCTTTGTGCCAAGATTTTCATTGAAAACTGGTAACACTTTTCTTTCTCAATCCAAACCTCTTTTCAAAGCAAACTGTCCCTATCAGGCTTGCCTCCTCCTCCCTGCCCTTCTCTGGCTGATTTGTGGCAGATGCTCAGGGAAGAACTCAGCACTCTCTCTCCTTTCCCATGACCTCACGGTCCTCCAGAGACCTCAGCGACTCTGGCTGGTTTAGACTAAAGGGGACCAGGGTTACCATGGGGATTTGGCTTCTGCCCCACTGATATGGTGGCACAGCCAGGAGGGTGCCATGGTCTTAACCAAAAGGCTGTGAGACCCCCGTGGTTTGAATCCACCTGAAATCCACTCTGAAAGAGAAAGATGAGCTATTTTCTGCCGTCCTGGTTTACAACCTCAGAATCCCAACAGAGGGACACCAAGAGTCAGAACAGATGTGACAGCAATGAGTTTAAGTATTGATTCCATTGGGAGGGCACATGCCCAACTATGTCAAGCCAAAATGGCTTCAAAAAACAAACAAAAAAGCCCAAAAGTCCCAAAACGGCTTCTGAAGTGTGTCAGGTTTTCATAGGACACAATAAAACCTATCACGGGTGAGGCCGCAAACACTGACTGGCCTGATCCTCGGATGGGAGTGGGTCAGGGTTTGAACAAAAATATAAGAAAGCTCTCAGTCAGGGCACCATTTGGGTTTGGTTTTCCCCATCTGCAACTGATTCCTCTCCTTTCTCTTTCTTCACACTGAAGGTACATACAGGCTGCTACGTCTCCCAAGGACATAGTGATTTTGGTGGACGTGAGCGGCAGCATGAAAGGGCTGAGGATGGCTATCGCCAAGCACACGGTCTCCACCATCTTGGACACGCTGGGAGAGAATGATTTTGTTAATGTCATTGCGGTAAATATGTTTTCCTTCTTGGTCTGGAATAGCTCTCAGTTCCTTTAGAAAAGACATTCTTCCCTAGAATGACCGATATAGTCACTTGCCTCCTACAATAGAATGATTCTCTCTTGCCAGTCTTAGTTACTAACCTATGGTCCATTCATGGTCTGCCCAAGTCCTTGGAATTATTTGTAAAATGCATCCCCCCATATTCCTGAGCCCCATCTTTCAATTTCTCAAAGGAGCCTGGGGTGTAAAGACTGTGAATAATCACTGACCATGGAGTTGTTGGGCGCTGTCAAGTACAACTCATAGCAACTCTATGAACAATAGACTTGAACTCTGTCCTATCCTGTGCCAGCGTCACAATCTCTGACACACTTAAGCCCATTCCCACAAACACTGTGTCAACCCACCCGGTCAAGGCTCTTCTCTTCCACTATCCCTCCACCTTCCCACGCATGATGTTCCTCTCCAATGAACAGCCTCTTCCAACAATATGCCCAAGGTATGTGAGGCAAAGTTTAATCATCTTTGCCTCAAAGGAGCCCTCTGGCTGCACCTCTCCCAGACATACCTGATTGTTCTCTTGGCAGTTCATGGGACACTCAGCAGTCTTCTCCAACACCACTTCAAAGGCATGAATTCTTTTGTTATCCTTATTCACTGACCTGCACTCAGCAGCACAGCAAGTGACTGAAACAATCTAAATTATGGAAATGGCTATAAGTAAAGGCCTAACTTAATTCCACTCTAAACTGTTGGTCTCCAATCAGACCTAGAATGATTGATTTCTGGCCTGCCTTACAACAATTCCTGTCCTCTCTGCTTCTGACACTCAATTCATTTCACTAAGTCCAGACACCTTGGGAGAAAGGGGCAAAGTAGAAAGTGTAAGCCCAGAAGAACAAGAAGTCCAGGAGCTGTTTTCCGAGCATCTCTTCCTGAGGGACACTCAACCTGTGCCTAGAAAGTGATGGAGTGGAGGTATAATAAAGTAAGGAAAGAGGGGTGGTGGGTTAAGTGACTATTTTCAAATGCACCAGGAGCATGTTGAACTCTCCAAAGGGACCAAATTGACAGCTGCCTTGATGCTCTGAAGGGCATGGAAAATGCTTGCTGATTCTGAAGTTCCATCCACAGCTTGACACACTGTCCAAAATGTTCATCTGTAGTAGAATTTACTTATCTAGCAGAGAAACACCAATACAAACTTGGCCAGCTTTAAAATAACCCTGTAGGGACATGATGGCTTCCACATATGCAGACCACACTTCTTAAGACCCTTCCACAAAGGCTGTCTCTGTGTAGCCATCTGTGTCACCCCTAGGCTCTACCTCTCCACATCTATCTGCGCCTGCAGGAGTGACCAGACAGCCACAGACTTAGATCCCATCACTCCATGAGAGTGGGCAAGATAAGCTCACCTCTCAGAGACTGGCACCACCGGTCCTAGCCCTGCCTCCTCTGTCCCACTCCCAGCTTTTTCACCAGGTTCTTGTTGTCATTAAGTGCCATCAAGTCAACTACAATTCATAGCAACCACAAGAAGAACAGATTGAAACCTTGCCCTATCTTGTACTACCTTCACAACCTCTGCCATGCTTGAGACCAGTGTTATAGTTTCTGTGTCTTGGGGAGTTCCAATTAGGGAAAGAGTTCGTCCCAAGCATGCTCATGACATTTTCCCACTTAGCCATCGCTGTCTCCTCTTCTCTCCTCCTCCTATTTGTGTGGAAGGTGTGTTAAGAACTCCAAGGCAGCAGATTTTTAACTTGACTGTGGAAAAGAGGAGTGCTTAAGTGAAAGGAAAGACAAGTAATAATTCCTTTCCCACCTCCAACCACTGTAGAGAGGGAAAGTACCCTCTTCATATGCACACAGGAAAAAGAAGAAAGGGGCACAGGTGTCTCAACCCCCCTCCAGACCTGCTGTGGAGGAGACAGTCATGGAGGGCTCCGAGCTAACCTGTGGAGACACCCTGTCTGGTGTTGGAGGCAGAGATCAAAGGCATTCTGTCAGTAACTGCAGTTTCTATTCTGGGAAATGAGACACTAGCTAGTTGGTTCAGACAATGAGTCCAGGATTTGAGGGAGAAATTTCAGAGTAAGTAAACTGCTCTGTTTTCTCTCTACTAAGAAAAGCTGCAAAAAGTAAAAGGTGTCCCAGGATCATATTCTAGAGTTCCCACATGAACCTCTGACCACCCTGTGAGATGCTTTTGGTTTCTTACTGGGCCCTGACTTTCCAACTAATCCTGTTCGCTCTCTCCTTCCCTCTGCCCACGGCTACTACAGTACAATGACTATGTCCATTACATCGAGCCCTGCTTTAAAGGGGTCCTTGTCCAAGCAGATCAAGATAACCGAGAGGTAAGTGTCCACTTTTGACTTGATGCCCCTAAGTAACCCACTCCTGCTTGGATACTGGAGCATCGTCTATGCAGAAAGTTTTGATTGCCCACTATGACCTCCTCCTTTACCCTTGGAAAGACAGCAAAGCAAATGTGTGTTTAACCATGTAATTATGCCCAAGAAACCTCCCTAATAAATATGGTGCCTACCAATTTAGAGGAGCGTTCTGTTAACCTAATCCTTAGAAAGTTGTGTTACTAACCCAATATTGAGTCCACCATCGGCTCTGCAAGAGAAAGGTGGGCGATCTCCTCCCTGTGATTTACAGCCTTGGAGAGTCAACCATGAGTTCTGACTCAACAGCTATGAGATGAGATGAGATGAGGTGAGGTGAGGTGAGATGATGAGATGATAATGACGATGACGATGGTGGTGGTGGTCATGGTGATGATCTATTTAGAGAAAACCATAAAGGCCACATCTAACAGAAAGAACCTCATTGACTGTAGGGATGGTTTTTCACTCAAGGTGACTCAAGACTCAGTCTTTCTCTTTGTTTCCTCTTGTCAGTCTTAATGCAAGCTTCTTGAAAAGGAGGACAAATTAAAATCCACCCGATTGAACCCTTTACTCTGGTAAAAGGCCAAGGAGGAGAGAATGTGGCAACTATTTGTAAAGAGATATTTTGCATGTCATCCTTCCCTCTCTGGTTCAGACACTGAGTCTGCTTTCCTCTAGAATCCTGGCCCACATGTTGGTCTACGGAGTCACTGGCTATCTCCATGGACTCTCCTGTGAAGTGCTCACCCTTGGTAAAGGGCTAGGATGCTGACAGTGCTGGAGACCCCAGGAACCTGTGCATTGGTTCCCAGAAGATCATCCCTCACCCCTTTCCCTAAATTGTGTGGCAGGGCTCACACATAGCAGTATCCTTCAATAGCAGAAATGGATTCACACCAAGCCACTTGACTATGAGGCCATTTGAGAAACAACCACTGCAAGGGTCCAACTCATGAAATTAGTTAGATCATGAAGAGGCAGGACCTGACTAGTTCTAGACAACACCTATAAACAGCCTCCTGAATGAAAATCAAAGACGAAGTCTCCTTGGCCCACTCAATTCTTTGACCCTTCCTGAATTTCTTCCCCATGGCAGCATTTCAAACAGCTTGTGGAGAAGCTGATGGTCAAAGGTGTGGGGATCGTGAACCAAGCCCTGAGTGAAGCCTTTGAGATCCTCAAACAGGTGTGTTCACCTGAGGAAGCCCAGGGAGAGTGGTGAGGCTGAGGGAAGAGATGGAGGCGGAGGGCGGAGAGTTCACAGCCCATGGTCACAGTGCCCTCTCCTTCCACCCACAGTTCCAAGAGGCCAAGCAAGGAAGCCTCTGTAACCAGGCCATCATGTTGATCACCGATGGTGCCGTGGAGGACTATGAGCCAGTGTTTGAGAAGTACAACTGGCCAGATCGCAAGGTTTCTTTCACGGTGGGGGGGGGGGTCAAGGGGGACTGGGAAGGGTCAAGGGGAAGTTCTACTGCCAAGGATAGGATTCCTCCCAGGACCCAGAAAATCAGAGCCTCACTGAGCTCAAGTCTTCCATCTCATTGTTGTTGCTTGTATGCTGTCCGTTTTTAACTCAGAGCAACCCTGTTACGTGAAGAGTAAAACTTACCCACAAGATTTTCTAGGCTTCAAACTTCATGTCAAGATGGAGCCACTGCTGCAACAATGGCCTCAGACACTGCAATGACAGTATTCCACTGTACAGAGGCTTGCTGCGAGTCAGGACAGACGGACAGCACCTGACAACAACAATCTTTAGGGAAGATGTGTCCCAAATGGCTGGTCAAAAATTATGGTGACTTTAAAAACGGAGAAGTCATCCCCGAGTGGTGCAAGAAGTTAATGTGCTAGGTTACTAACTGAAAAGTTGATGTTTCAAGTCTACCCAGAAGCTCCTTGAAAGAAAGACCTGGTGAAAAAGTTCAGAAAAATCAGCCACTGAAAACCCTATGGAGCACAGTTCTACTCTGACACCCACGGGCTGCTCTCAGGCTGAATGGATTCAACAGCAACTGGGTTTAGTCGCTGAGGATTCAGTGAGAAATAATAGCTGGGGTCAGAGTGAGGGACAAGAATGTAGTTTTGAGCCATGAAAAGTGCTCAACTGTGAACTGTTTCATGCTCACCATGACGTTGGGCAATTAGATTTGGTACATGTTTCTTGACCACGAAGAAGCTGTTATTCTTGATTACAATCTCTATGATAGCCAATTAACAGGTCTTTTCCCCATAGAAACAGTGCGTAGATTTAAACCTTTAACATTCTAATCATTAGCTAAGAATTGAGCCATTTGTACCACCAGGAAGAGAATCTGTAATTGGTAGAATGTTTGACCCACCATTGAAGATTCATGTAAAAAAAAAATCAGCATTATGATAGTCAGAGATTATAGTTGGTTAGTGAAGAATATGTCTGTTGAGTCACTCTGTCTTGGGGATTAGGTTCGAGTTTTCACCTACCTCATCGGGAGAGAGGTGACTTTTGCTGACCGCATGAAGTGGATCGCATGCAACAACAAAGGTAAGTGAGGTGTCAGCCGTGCGCCGTATAATCCCACACCTGAGCACAGCTAGGGCCCCGAAGGTGCTGTACACGGGCTTCTGCACTGAGATCTGGAAGTAGCATAGCAGTGCCAAGAATGACAGTACATGTTCCCTTCTTATTATCTGGAAAAAACCAAGACAAAATGTGATTGTCCCCTGGAGCCACGAGAGTGTACTTGATTATTCTAGCAGGTCTTCTTCCAAAGTTATAAAGTCATCTGAAATAGAACTTAGGAGTCATCCCTCCACAATAGAGAAACCTCAGTCTAGAAACCAGGGCAGGCAAAAATGGAAGTGATGTTTTAATTGTAAGCTCTATCTGATATCTGGTCTTCATTCTCCTTGCTGCAAGCTAAGCCCTTTTGTTCTGGGTCGGTTTCCAAACAATAGACAGAGGGTCACCATTTTCTTCAGAATAATGTTTAGTATGCAATATGTTTTGCTTCTCTCTAACCAGCCAACCTACAATGTGACAGCACTCAAAGCTTTGTTGTCCCTAAACACTGCTCTGGATTTGGAGGGGTCTCAGTGAGGATCCCTCTTCTTCACTCTGGCAGCCTGGAAGAGATGGCAGGGCCTTGGGAAAGATGGCAGTGCCTTGTAGATCAGAGCAATTCCATGTGAAGGGCAGAGCTGTAAGGTATTAGCAGCTAGGGCGGCACCTGGGCCCTACCAGAAGATTCTGAGTGGTCTCCATATCACTACCACCATGTGACTTTCCCCTCCCCTAGGCTACTACACACAGATATCTACGCTGGCAGATGCCCAGGAGAACGTGATGGAGTACTTGCATGTGCTCAGCCGCCCCATGGTCATCAACCACGATCATGACATCATCTGGACAGAAGCCTACATGGACAGCAAGGTGGGCCTCTGATAGGTGCTCTAGAGTTAGAGACCCAGGAATGCAAATGATGTCTCCTGGGTCAGAAGAGGGGTGAGCACAACACATTTCCTTGACCAGAGCTGTAAATGGAATAGATTATTTTTTTTCATGTATTTTCTCCTCCTTCCCTGACGCCACTCAGCCTAGTAGCAGGTCATTGCCCATGTGATGCTAGGGATATCAGAAATCCTTCCAGCAAACTTGTTGGTCCTGCCCCCATGGATAGAGCCTCTCTATTCCAAGCTTGTTTCTACTTTTTTCCCCCATTAGGACTCATTTCCATCATTATCCTTCCCTTGTACTTGCTATGGAAGAAAGTGGTCAGACAAGCCATTCCCAATCAATCACAAAGCTTAGTCATGTGGTCTTCCTTCCTGGGCACACACATGTTAAAAGTAATTGCCTATAGGCAATAATGGCCAAGCCAAAGGAATCAATTATCAAAAGTATAATATCAAATGAGCTATTTGGAAGGATGGGGAGGAAAAATACTTTTCTTGCACCGCTCAAGTCACATGTGCAACTATTTGCTTCAGTGATGTTGTTTCAGCACAGGACTCAAGGAGAGATCTAAAATTACTGGCTTAAATAGCACTGCTGTTGTCAGGTGCCTCAAGTCGAACATGATCCATAGCGACCCTATGACCAGCAAATCTGTCCCCTGCCCTGTCTTATGTCATCCCTCCTTATGTCCAATATTCTTGATTCCATTGCTATAGTCATTGTGTCAATTCATCTTGTTGAGGGACTTACTCTTTTTTTCAAACCCTCCCTCCTTCCAAACATGTCTTTCAAGGGACTAGCCCCTCTTGACAATATGCCCAAAGTATGTGAGACCAAGTTTCACCATCCTTGCCTCTAAGGAACGCCCTGGGTGCACTTTCTCTAAGACAGATCTGTTTGCTCTTTTGGTAGTCTATATGATATTTAGTACTCTTCTCCAACACCACAACTTAATTAATCAATTCTTCTTCTATCATCCTTATTCATTATCCAACTTTCAGATGTATAGCAAGTAACTGAAAACACCATAGATTGGATTAAGCACATCTTAGTCTTTAAACAGAAGGGGTTTTGCTCCTTAGAACTTCAAAGAGGTCCTTGGTAGCAGATTTTCCAAAAGTGGTATATGCCTTTTGATTACTTGACTGCTGGTACCAAGGGTGTTGACCATGGATTCAAGTAAGATGAATTGTTAACAATTTCAATCCTTTCCCCATCTATCATTAATGTTACCTATTGGCCCAGTGGTGAGAATCTTTGTTTTCTTGATGTTGTAGTCTTTGTCTTCTGAAGCAAGTGCTTCAGGCCTTCACTTATAATGAGCAAGAGTGTGTCATCTGCTTAATGCAGATTGATGATAAGTCTTCCTCCGATCCTGATGCTATGTTCTTCATCAAGTTCAGCTTCCCGAATGATCTGTTCAGCATACAGATAGAATAGATATAGAGAAAGAATACAGCCTTGATGCATACCTTTGTTTATTTTAAGCCATGCAGTGTTCCCTTGCTCTGTTTGGACAACAGTTTCTTGGTCCACTTACAGGTTTTGCACGAGCACAATTAAGTATTCCAGGATTCCCATTCTTCTCAATGTTAGCCATAATTTGTTATGATCCATACAGTAAAATCTATTTGTCTATTTCTCGTTGTAGAAAAGAAACTTCTAGATAGTCTCATATGACATTTTAAATTCTATCTCATTGACCAACTCTGACTCTAGCTGCAAGGCAGGCTAAGAACGCAAACTTTCATGACTGCCTCTGACTTCCTCTAAGTAAGGGCAGTGGCATGTTTACCTACTAAGAGGAGATAAGAGCCACCTTGCCAATTTTTTAATAAAAAGCTCATTAATCTACATTAAAGGGACTAAAGCAATAAGGCCAGACTCAGGAAAGGTCATCGACTGTTGCTCTCAAAGCAGGAGCTCAGAAGGGGGAAGCTTCTGTCATGGGGGGAAATTTTCTCCTTGCTTTGTCCAGGTATTCTTAGGGCACTGCTCTGAGTAGATCAACTGACTGAGAATGAGAGAAAGGGAATGAAAACTAAGAGGTAGTGAAGAGTGAGAGACAGAGGGCAAGATCAAGCCTTTGTTCTTATCTTCCTTTGCATTTTGTCTCATGATTTTCATTTTCTATCCATCATCCCATGCCTTACACTAGCTACTATGGCCTAAGGAAAGAACCACCTCTTCAGTGGTCTCTGAAGAGTGGACTCTCACATACATTTCTCATATGTGAATGATTGTTCTTATGCCAAAGGAGCTGACAAGAGGAAAACTAGGTTCTACTCAAAATTTCCAAAACCCTGAAATTCATTGAGGAGGGCATGGACCCGACTGAGTGGTCAGGAGGGTTTGCGTGTGTTTGGTTCAAGGCACAGGAAGGAGAATAAAGGTGAGTTAAAGTATAACCTAACTTCCCTATGGTTGTTGTTGTCGTTGTTGTGTACCACAGAGTCGGAACCAACCTGTAGGTGAGCCTTTGGAGGGTTTTCAGAGTCAATTAATTGCATGGGAGGAAGTGGCCCATCAGATTGCCCTTCCTTCTCCTGCGGAGCAGCTGGTGGCCTCAAACCACATGCCTTTGGGATTGCAGCACAGCTTCTTGCCACTAGGCCACCAGAGCTCTTTAATGCTCTAAAATGTCTTTCAGACAGGTTACTCTAGGTCACTCTCAGTAGTCTGTGCACATCGTAACCTTCCAGGTTCCTTTAACTCCCCATATCTGTGTGTAAGAATACAAATTTATCTTCATTTTTAACAATGACAGCTTTTCCCTCAACTAGGAAGACTCCCTAGTCTTATTATCGCCTTTCTTCTTTCCTAACTCACCTTCTCCATGACTTAGGAATTCCTGTTCAGGAAAGGGGTGATGGTGGTACAGGGGTTAAGCATTCAGCTGGTTAGTAGAAGGTTGGATATTCAAACCCACCAATTGTTTGACAATAGAAAAATAAAGCCATCTACTTCTATATTTACTGCCTTGAAAACCTTCTGAACTATTCTACTCTGCCCTATATGGTAATTCTAAGTTCAAATCAACTCAACAGCAGAGATTCTGGGTTTGATTTTAGGTAGTCTTGGGTCATCCACAAATCTCCTGAGTCCAACCTGAAGAACATCTGAGTTGAGGATGCTATTTACACAGCTCAGAGCAGATGCAGAATGGGAGAAGATTGCTAAGGGAGAGGGCAAGAGAGAGGGGAGACTGGGGTTCTCTGATGAAGCACGTCTGGCTTCGTACATTCCTAACTCAAAGAGACTTGACAGCGTTCGTCTCATTTGTGTCAATGTGTCTGTCTGTGCTCACAAAATTGCATCTCACCTTCAGAAAACCTTACTTCCAAACTAAACTGAAAAATGAGATGAAGTAGAGATGGGCAAAAAGCTTTTCCTTTTCCAGTAAAGTCTACTAGCCGACTCACATCCCTCAGCAAGCTCCGTTGGTTTACCTAGATGAGGTGAGCCTCTTAAAAGCTGTTGATGCACACCTCTTTTCAGGAACTTGTCTTTGTTTTGGAGGGAGGCACATGACTAAAGCCCCTTTCCAAGGCAGCTGGAGGAGGTGGTGTGACGAGATGGCGATCAGACAGAAATCACCCTCAGAGACTGGAGTGACTGAGCAGAGAACGCATCCCAAGTGTATTAGTGATGACATTAAAATGGCAATGACAAATACACTGTGACTACCCGCATGCTGCCTCTCCACGTGTGTCTGCTTCTGTTCACAGTTCTATAGCTGTGTCCTTCTTCTCTTTGAGTGATCTCCTCGTATTTACCATGGATGCATAGTAGAAATTTCTCAGAAAGTGTTTTCCTTTCCAAAACTCTTTGCTCCTGGGCACTTGAGGGGAAAGCTTGTTTTATGGATTCATACTCATCTGTGGTGAGGCCAAAATATGAGCTCAATAAACATGTTTGGGAGGTGGGCTGTGGGCTTTGGGAGTCTGAGACTTGTCCTGTTTTAGAATCATCTTTGGTAAGTGATAACAGTGTGATCTACTTGTACAACCCTGCCCTCACCTTTGGCTTTTCTGACAATTCTCTGTTTGCAGAGAAATGTTCTGACAATTCTCTGCAGAGAAATGAAACGTATTTGGGATTTTTTTTTCTCTGACTGGAAGGAGGCACCGTGGTTGATAGAGATGACGGTGGACTCTTCACACTGTGTACTCTGTCCAACACAGACCATTGGACCTCCTGTGCCTGACTCTGTGTTTTGCTCTTTTCCCTTTGACAGCTCTTCACCTCACAGGCAAAGAACTTCTTGCTCCTGACAACTGTGGCCATGCCAGTCTTCAGCAAAAAGAATGAAACAGTGAGTGGTCACTCTGAGAGGTTGAAAGAGTGAATAGAACTTGGAGCTACTGGCTGGTATCTTTAGACTAGTGATTCTTAACTTGGCCAGGCACCAGAACCACCATGGGGGGAGATTTAAATGCATATTCCTAAATCCTGACCCAGACTATCTACACCAGAATCTCTAAATGGTAGACGAACTGCCCATACTTTTCCAAAGTCCCCCAGTGGTCCTACTCCAGTCACCTTGAAAGCAGTCCACTGCAATGTTCTTGGAGCCATGAGCCTTGAAAGAGCTAGAGAAGTCATCTGTCCAGTTTCCAGCAAAATCACACTTAGCTTACCAGTTTTGACAGACTCTAACTTGTTTGTAATGGCTTCTATTGCAAAATTTCCAGAACTTTCCATCCTTTGTCTTGTCAGCAAGTATTTCCATATGGGCATGAATAAGCATCTGAAGATTTTCTTTTTAAAATTAAAAAAAAATCTTAATTGTGATTTTAATGAAAGTTTACAGAAAAGTTGGATTTTCATTCATTCATTGTTGCAGTTTGATCCCGTTCCCCTCTTCCCCCATTCCCTCCCCTAGTCCTCTCTGCAATGTAACTCTTATTTTGTACCATTGTCTTACGAATAATGCCTAATCATATATTCCTTTTAAACACTTCTCTCCCTCATCTGTTCTGACATAGTGTACATTATCTGTCCACTCTTTCCTAGTCTCCTGTCAATGCCCCCATGACAGTTCCACTTCATAACAGTGTTATTATACATATTTGTCCTTTTGAGACTGTGACATTTCACTCACCATAATGTCCTCTAGGGTCACCCAGGTTGTATAATGTTGTATGAGGGTTTTTTAGTGCTGCATAGTATTCACTTGTGTGAAAATAAATACCCATAGTTTTTCTATCCATTTTTTTGTTGATAGGCACGTGGTTACTTCCATTTCTTTGCTATTGTGAATAACACAGCAATAAACACGAGTGTGCATACATCTGTTTGGATGGCGGTTCTGGTTTCTTTAGGGTATATTTCCAGCAGTACAATTGCTGGGTCAAATGGTATTTCTACTTCCCAACTTTTTGAGAAAGTGTCAAATCGCCTTCCATAGTGGTTGAATCACTTGACACTTCCACCAGCAGTGAATAAGGATTGCAGTCTCTGCATAACCTCGCCATCATTTGTTGTTTGCTGCTCTGTTGAATTTTGCTATTGTTGCTGGGGCAGTTGTAGATTCTTACTCCTAGGATCCTGGTCCTTGAGCTTCTGCTGTGAATATAAACACTTTATCTAACTTTGCATAGTATTTCATTCAGTTATTACAATTTAAATATTAATATTAAACATTAATCTTCCCAGCAATTAATAATGCTTCTGAGACCTCTCCTGACAGGTTCTAGGCCTTTACTCCAGGGAGCTCTGCCAAAAATATAATGGCAGGGATGAACCATCTGAGACCTATCAAGTTTCCACTTTTGAGCTCTGGAAAGGCCTTGGGGCTCATCTGGCCCTGCTGATGGGGAAGTCGTGCATCTCCTGACTTGGTTTCTTTCTTTCTAGAGATCTCATGGAATCCTTCTGGGTGTAGTAGGCTCTGATGTGGCCCTACGAGAACTGATGAAGCTGGCACCTCGGTACAAGGTGAGCCTGGGTCCTGAAAGATAGTCACAGACCCTCAGGGGCTGTCCCAGGCAGTAACAGGACCTTTTTCCTAAGCAATGATAGTCAAGTTGAGATCTTGGCTCGGACCTCTCCATCTGGCCTCCCAGAAGTGTCATTATCAAGTATGAAAGCAGTGGCCTAGACTCCTGAGCCCTTTGCCACTCTGTGATTTGCTCTTTGGCCTTCAATGTTCTTTTCTAGATTTCTCCCTCAGTGTCTCAATCTATTTCTCCAAGCTATTCATTCCTGTCCTGTGAGTGAGATTCTATATACAAAGCACCTACAAAATGTGACGGTAAAGAGAATTATTATTATTATTGTTATAAATAATGGAATGTGTAAAGAGCTTCAAAATTAAAGTGTAGATTCCTCAAAAAAGTTAAAATATGAAATTACCAGTTATTGGTTTTGGTGCCATAGAGTTGAGAATGACTCACTGCGACCCTATGAACAACAGATCTGAATGAACCCTTTACTGTCCTGTGCCATTCTCATTATTTCAGGCATACTCAAGCCCACTGCACGAGTCACTTTGTCAATTCACTGGGTCAGGGTCTTCCTCAAAATTATCAGAAGACTTAGTATTTTCAGATACAGAGATATAAATATAGATAGACATAATATTGAATATACCATGGACTGCCAAAAGAAGAAACAGGTCTGTCCTAGAGAGGGCGAAACCAAGATACTCTCTGGAGGCAAGGATTTTGACGCTCTGTCTCACATACTTTGGGCATATTGCCAGGAGGAACCAGTCCTTGGAGAAGGACATCATGCTTGAAAGGGTAGAGGGACAACACAGGAGAGGAAGACTCTGGATGAGATGGCTTGACTAGGAGTAAGTGTGTCAGAAACAGTGATACTGGCTCAAGTTAGGTCAGGATTCAGAGCTGTTGTACACAGGGTAACAGGCAACTCAGTGGCACAAAAAAACAAAAATAATTAAAAATTAAAGCAGTATTCATAGCAGCATTATTCACAATACCCAAAAGGTGGAAACATGCCAAGTGTCCATAAACTAACAAATAGATAAATAAGATATAAACACAATGGGATATTACTGAGTCATAATTAGAAATGAAGTTCTGATATATACTATGATATGGATGAACCTTGAAAACACTACACTAAGTACAATAAACTAGACACAAAAATACAAATATTGTATGATTCCAATTATGTGAAATATATATCTAGAATAAGTACATTCATAAAAATGGAGCTAGATGCAAGGTTGACAAGGGCTCGGGAAAGGAGTCCTGATAGCACAGGGGTTAATTATTTGACTGTTAATTGAAAGGTCAGTGATTTGAACTTGCTGGCCATCCCAAGGGAGAAAGACGAGACAGTCAGCCTCTATAAAGATTACAGCACTGGAAATACTCTCAGCAGTTCTACTCTGTCCTACCTGGTGGCTATGAGTTGGAATCAATTTAGTGGTAGTGAGTTCCCTCAGGTAAGGGCTGGCAAGGTGTAATGGAAATAGAGAGTATTGCTTCAGGACACTAATTTGCATTTGGGAGGGATGAATTAGTTTGGGCTATGTTGTTGTTAGGTGCCATCGAGTCAAGTACGACTCACAGCAACTCTATGAACTCTAGGACCGATCTGAACCCTGTCCTATCCTGAGCCATCCTCACACTTCCTGATGCAATAGAACCCGCTGAGGCAGTCACTGTGTCAGTCCACCTGGTTGAGGGTCTTCCACTCTTTTGCCAGCCCTCCACCCTTCCCAGCATCATGTCCTTCTCCAATGAATAGACCCTCCTACCAACATGCCCAAAGGATGTGAAGCAAAGCCTCATCATTTTTGCCTCCAAAGAGCACTCTGGCTGCGTCCTCTCCAAGACATATTTGTTTGTTCTTGTTTTGGCAATAGATACAGGTAATAGGTGCAAACCAATCTGAATCCAATTAATGTTGCTAAAGTGTATTTTTAAAATTATTACAACAGCATTTTATTTATATTTTTGCCATATTTTTAAATGTCAGGATCAAACATTAAAGGGTATAATCCTGTCACTGGCTCAGTAATCCTTGTATTTGGAAAACTCTGTGCTATGAGCACCATCTTTCACCACAATAAGGCAACAAACTCTGACCAAATTCAATAATCCCATACAAACACCATGTCCCTCATTCTTTGTCTTTGGCAGCTAGGAGTACATGGATATGCCTTCATGAACACTAACAATGGCTACATTCTCTCACACCCTGACCTCCGGCCGTTGGTAGGTATAGATCTTATTTGCCTTGTGATTCTAACTATGTTATACCTGAGATGATTCATAAAAGTAATTCTGGAAAAAAAATAAAAAATATCATAATAATAATAAAAAAGTAATTCTGGGGGATTGTATACCAATGAAGGGGTTTATCTTTTGTTTTTTAAAGAGAGAAGCAAACTGGGCTGGCGGTGGGGGTTGGGGGGGAGGATAGAGAAAAAAGTGCAACAATGAATGAATGGAAATCCAAAATCTCTGTAAATGTTCATTAAAATTAATAACATTTTTAAAAGTCATTCTGACAATGGACACATATGGGGCTTCATTTAAGTGAGTCAAAACTCTAATATAAAAAAAAAACACAAAAAACCCAAACTCTACTATAGACATTATGAGAAAAAGTGTATTCAAGTTATGCTCCCTGTTTTAAAATCATTTACAATTTAGCAAGAGAGACAAGGCAAGATAGATAAAATGAGCAAACCAGAGAGCATGTAATGAAGTGTGCAGTCATGTGGCCATAGAAGGACACAACCACTTACATTCCCATCACAGCCTCAGTGGATGGCTCCATATTCCCTCTGGAGTCTGACATTCACGTACGCCCAAGTCCAGGCCTCCACCAAAAGGGAGTGTTAATACAGAGTTAACAATGAAAATGGCAAGACAAGTGTGAAGAACCCTCAGCGCTTGTCTTACTTTGTGTTTACTTACAGCTTTTGTGTTCTTGACTCTCTTCCCCCTTTCCTAGCTCTCTCTATCTTGATACAGAAGCTGAGAGTTATGTGGTCAGCTGAGCAACAGAAGGCTTAAGAGGAAAAGTTGCATAGTCTTATCTAAAGGGTCAGCTTTCAAGGGTAGAGGCTCCCTACTGCCCTAGTCCTGGCACTTGGCCACTATCTCTATCCACCACCTCTCAGTACAGTTGTTAGTAGGGCAAAATTGAGTTTAAAAATCCTTGAGAATTTTCGTTTTTCCCCTCTCTCAGTTTTCCAGGGAATTGTGGATAGCAGCTGGGGGGTGGGGAGGCAACAAGTAGCAGAGCATCTTTTCTCTCCTTGTTTTTGGCTTTAAAGAACAAAAATACATTTTTGTTAACTGTGATTTTAACAAAAGTTTACAGAAAAGTTGGATTTTCATTCATTCACTGTGCACATTTTCCTCCCTACCCATCCCCATCCTCTTAAAAAAAATCATTCATTGTTGCATCATTTCCTCCCTTCCCCCACCTCCCCCTGTTCACTTTGCTATGCACCTCTTATTCTGGACTGCTGTCATACAAATAATGCATAATCATATATTCCTTTTAAACAGTTCTTTCCTTCATCTGTTTCAAAGCAGTGTTTATTATTTATCCCTCCTTTTCTTAGTTTCCCCCCACTCCCATGTTGAGTTGTTTACCTTTTTCTTGTTGAGGTGTTAGAATATTCTACAAATTTTAGACATGAGTCCCTGTTTTAGAACAGTGGTGTTAGTATTTTTCCTTTTCTGACTGAGATATTTCTCTCAATATAATGTCCTCTAGCTCATCCATGCTGTGTAATATTTTATTAGCTCCTTGTTTTCAGTACTGTGGAGTATTCCATAGTGTAAATATACCAAAGTTTTTCTATCCATTCATTTGCTGTTGGGCACTTGGTTTGCTTCAATCTCTTTGCTATTGTGAATAATGCAGTAATAAAAATGGGTATGCATATATCTGTTTGGGTGGCAATTCTGGTTTCTTTAGGGTATATTCTTAGTTGAATCCTGGGTCAGATAGTATTTCTATTTCCAGCTTCTTGAGAAAGCATCATACTGCCTTCCATAGTGGCTAAATCATTTTATACTTCCACCAGCAGTGAATAAGGGTTCCAATTTCTCCACAACCTCACCAGCATTTGTTGTTTGCTGCTCTGTTGAACTTTGCTGTTGAGATGATATCTCATAGTTGAGATGATATCTCATAGTTGTTTTGATTTGCATTTTTCTGAGAGCTAGGGATTTTGAACATTTCTTCATGTGTTTGTTTGCCTCTGAATGTCTTCTTTGGTGAAGTGTCTATTTATATTCTATGCCCATTTTCCAATTGAGTTAGTTGTTTACCTTTTTCTTATTGAGGTGTTGGGAGTATTATACAAATTTTATATATGAGTCCCTTACCAGATACGTCATTACCAAATATTTGTTCCCTGTCTGTGGCTTTCCTAGCCTGTTGGAGAAGTTTTTTTTGATGTGCACAGGGATTTGATTCTTAGAAGGTCCCATTCATCTATATATTTTATTCTCTCCTGGTTATAGGTTTTTCAAAACGCTTGGAAGACTGTTCATATTGTGAATTAGGTCTTCTAGAGTTCTTCCAAGCTTTCATCTGATGAAGTTTAACGTCCTTGGTCTTACTCCTAGGTCCTTGATCCACTTTGAGTTAGGTTTTGTGTATGGAGTGAGGTGTGAATCTTGCTTGAGTTTTCTGCAGAGAGTTTTCCAATTTTGCTGACATCACTTGTTAAAAAAAAACAAAAAACAAAAAAAACACTTTTGTTTCCCCTCTTAACTCATTTTGTCTCCTTGTCAAAAATCAGTTGATCATAGGTAGATGAGCTGATTTCTGTGCTCTCAATTTTGTTCCATTGATCTATTGTCTGTCTTTGTACCAGTATCATGCTGTTTTGACCACCATGACTGTGTAGTAGGATTTGAGATCAGGGAAAGAGATGTCTCCTACCTTTTTTCTCTTTTTCAGGAGTGCTTTACTTATTCAGGGTCTCTTTCCATTCCAGATGAAATTGGAAATTGTCTTTTCAATCTTATTGAAGAATTGAATTGATATTTGTATTGGGATTGCATTGAATTTGTAGATTGCCTTTGGCAGAATTGTCATTGTCACAATATTGAGTCTTCCTATCCATGAGTATTATATATTACTCCATTTCTCAAGGTCTCAGAGCATCTTTTCAAGAACTAACAAGGGACTCATATGACCCAAGAATGATCTGGAGAGTTCAGTCTAATCACATTCAATCCCATTCACTTCAAATGGAAACTGGATGTTCACAGGCAACTAACTGAGCTCCTCAAGGCAAATCATAGGGGTTTAGAATAAAAAGAAAGCTCGTTGCACTGGAAACCACTCTGTCTACTGTGGTTTTCCAGTTAAGATTCTTTTAGACAAACAAGCATCTATTTTAATCACCTATCCACTTTTAGGGAGCTCTGGTAGCCTAGTGGGTAAGGAGTTACATTGCCAATCCAAAAGCAGGCAATTCAAATCCACCTCAGCAGGGGAAAGATGGTTAATCTTCTCCCATGTAATTTACTGCCTATGAAAACCAGCCAGAAGGTCAGCTATGGTCAGTTCCAACTTGATGGCACACAACAACATAATTAATGCCATTAAAAGTCATGGTGTTACAGTGATTAAAGTACTCAACTATAACAAAGTGGTCTGCAGTTCAAATCTCCCTGTCACTCCACAGGAGAAAGATACACTGGTATACTTCCACAAAGATTTACAATCTTGGAAACCCTTTAGAGCAATTTAACCCTGTCTCACAGGGTTCCTATGACTCAGAATCAGCTAAGGGCAGTGGGTTTTTTATGTAGTATTGTTCTCTTGTTGTTTTCTATGCACAGAGCCCAGGGGAGGAGGACACTGAACATCATGCAGAGCCACCCAGGCGATACATTTAGAAACAAGGTGAACAAGCATGGGCCGTGGGAGGCAGGCTTCATGGCATTAAGAGGATGAGGTGCCCTCATTTCTGGTGGGAGGATGTGCTCGCTTGTTTGATAATTCCACAAGCTGGCAGGGAACTGAAACCCACCACTCACATATGTGCAGAAACTGGCAGATTCTGTGATAAGGACTGTCTGACGAGGGACCTTACCCAAGGGGATAGGAATTTTAGGTTAGGCCATTCAAAGAACTTCATCAGATGTCAAAGTGGTATATAATACTGGCTCTTAACTTTAGGACTTACACCAGAGCCTCTAAACTCGAGATGTATGACTGTCCTCTACCAGTTGTGTTCTGTGGGAGGCAGCCCCAATGCCAGCAAAATGACTCACTAGGGAAATAAGAAAGATGTGGATCCTACAGCACAATTATAGAATTAAGAGACACTGGTCAGAAAATCACCTGTTATCTTCCACTTAATTTAGAAAAATATAGGGTTTCAACCAATAAATTCATATTACGTATCTCACCTTTTAATATTGTGAGGAATGTTACAAACAGTGATGAAATGTATAGTGTAATTAAGGAAATAGGACTTACATAAATGAAACAATAGATAATTATACAACACAGAACACAATTATGTAACAAAAGCTATGAGAAAGCCATTTTAATGCGCTTCCTAAGGAAAGCACTATCAATTTGAGATGGCTATTAAGGAGATGGTTTTTTAAAAAGAAAAAATAAAAGTAAACAAAGAGATGCCTAGTATTAAACGGAAAGAGAAACACAATAAACATACTTTCTATATCAATACCCGGAGATTGAGCAATTAACAAAATGAAATAATGGCTTTCACGTGAGGAGCAAAAGGTAGTCTTTCAGGTAGTAACAGGATTTCAGAAATGACAGTGAAATACTGCATCTTACTCAAAATGAACAGATTGAACGTGAAAGATGGCAGGGCATCACCATTTGCCATGAGGATGGACATGAAGAATAAAGAATAAAGAACCAAGAATAAAGGTACCATTTTGGCCTGAGTGAGGAGGAAAGAATGCAAGTCGGTTCTGTAGGGCAGCTGAACAACAGCTCACCTGTGTCAAGTGGGAGATAATAATGAGACTCAACATCCACACATCTGCTGAGAGTTCATGCTACTAAGCTCCTAAAGACAGTCAGTCTCTGTCTCTCTCTCTCTCTCCTTGTTGTTGAGTAGGAACTAACTCATTGCTGATCCTCCAAAAGGTTTTCAGAGGCCATAAATAAAAATATAGAAAAAGAGCTCCCATCTTTGTCCTGAGGAACAGCTGGTGGATTTGAACTGCCCATGCAGCATAACACACAACACACTCTGATTAATTCTTGGCTTATCTTGTAATAAGTTATACTAGAGTGCATTATATGTCAGCATCTAAAGACATGAAAATGAGGACATAGGAAATGCAGGTAAGCACCTCTCTGAAAAGGCACAGGGTGTAAGAATAGCACAGCCTCTCACTGCCCCAGAGCAGAAAGCCCATAGGTCAGCCTCATGGTCCCTCTACAGTCACACCAACAGCAAGAGGTTTGTTTATTCATTGTTGTCTCACTAACTCACAGTTGTGGTACTGAGAATGGTGTTTATTAGGGGAGTAAGTGGGAGAATAGGGGAGGCAGGGAATATTACCCCAAAAAAGTGTACATTTTAGCCTAAGTTCCAAGGTTTAACTCCTCAATTAGTCAAGGGTATGGTTTCAGTTCAGCAATGAAATACAAATTATCCAGCAAGGTTTGCCTCAGAGCAGTTATAAGCCAGCTTCTCCATCAAGCATCCAGCCAAAAAAAAAAAAAAAAACCAGTAAAAACCTTTAACTATGGCCTTTATTTCAAGGCTCCTCTGCTTATACCTTGCCACAGCCTCTCCACCACCAGAGTCTCACTCTCAACAGGGTCTTGCTCCCTGAAGACTTGTCCAGCGTGGCAAGCACTCTTTTTCTTATCCTAGTCTCACGGGTTTTGATGATTTGCAAGACCATGTGTTTGCAGTTAAGTTGGCTGGAGACAAGAGGGAGCTAACTAATGGCTAAAAAAACCAACTTTTTGACTAACACCACAGTTGGATAAAAAAAAAAAAATCAGCAATTCACATTGACTAGCCACTTTATGGAAGAAATATGGGCAGTCAGTCTCCTCTTATAAGGAGTTACAGCCGCAGAGCTCTGATGGAGGGCCACCATGAGTTGAAATAGATGCAAAGATAGTATTATAAAGGTTGGGGGGCAATGGTTACCCTTTTGAAATAGAGTTACCAACATGGAAATGCAGCAGACTTTATGGCATATAATGTGATATTATGCATCCTAGCACATGAGAAAGCAAACGATGGTGAGTGATGATAGAAACAGATGAGTAAAGGGATAAGAAAATTGAACAGTCAGAACCAGAAAATAATAACATTCAAAGAACACTAATGACTGTATGTCAAGCTGGAGGAAGGTCTCTATCAGGCACTGCAGTATGTGTTCTTGGCTCTGTTCCATTCAACAATTCTATCAACAAGATGAAAATACAGCAGATGCAACAGACTGGAAGGTATGGCAAATGCATTAAGTGAGACATTTAGTATTTACAATGTATTCTTCTAAAACAATGGGCTGAAACTAATAAGATAAAATACATTAGGGATGCATGGAATGTTCCACCCAAATACTCAGTACTCAAATAACAGAATGGAGAGTCCAACAGTATACCCTGTGAGAAAGATTAAAGGAATTTAATTAAATGAAAATTCCATTTGAACCAACAGAGCAGTGTAGTTCCCTGAGAAGTTAAGCAGAATCACAGGTAGCATTCATAGCTGTGTGCTCTTAGTCTGGAGTTGTCACATCTCACACTACACTGGTCATACTTTTTTTGGAATATTGATTTTTGTCTTGAGTACATGATAGAGGTGACATTGACAAAGTGGAACACATTCAGAAGACATTGAAACATTTGCAAATTGAATACAGTCTGGAGAAGTGCAGTCTTAGGAGTGACAAGTACCTTGGAAATACCCAGGGTTGTCAGGCAGAACAAATTCTGAGCAGAAAAACCAAGATCAATGGGTAAAAGTAAAAGGGAGGCAGATTTCAACTCTGTATGGGGAAAAGTGTTCCAGCAATTAGAGCTGTCTAAAAACTATGACAAGATGTCTCACAAAATAGGGAGTTTCTCATCACTAAAAGGCCTGAGACCATCTGTCACCATCGTTGGCAAGGGAAGCTCTGCCTTGGATGGGAGGCTGGCCCAGATAACCTTAAGAAATCACTGAGATGCTTTGCTTTTTATAAGGCTTTAGAAATAAATCATAATGAGTGAGGAGGGCTTTGTGCTAACCTTGTGTTTATCTCCCTGACCTGCTCACTCTAGTACAGAGAGGGGAAGAAACTGAAGCCCAAACCAAACTACAACAGTGTGGATCTCTCTGAAGTGGAATGGGAAGACCAAGCTGAAATGGTGAGTGGGCAAACATGGGAAGGGGAAGCTAGTTTAGCACTTGTTCCAATAAAAGAGTCAGCCACATGGCATCTAAGCTTTGAAGTCATACTGTCTGCTTTGCTCAAACAATACAAAGTCCCAGGGCTCTTCTTGCTCCAACACAGCAGCAGTCCCTACCATGAAGAATCATTTAAGCTTATGAAAATGTAATTCCTTAATCACAAGTGTTACTAAAGATGAAAGATGTATTGGCTATACGCTATAGAGATTGAGTTTCAGGAATGTTTTAGCCTGACTTTTGGTCTCAGTACCTCATCCTCGAGGGAATTGTTTTTCAGCAATATGACATTATACACAGTGTACTAGTCCACTTTGGAGCACTAAATTGGTGAATGCTCAAAATCATAAGCCAAACAGAACCTACAGTGTCATTTTGCTCAGATATAAAAAGGGAAGAGGGAAAAGAGAAAAACCAAGTGTTCTAGAGACCACCTCTAATATTATTGCTGTTGTTGATTACCTTCGAGTTGAGCACAACTCATAGCAACCCTATGAACAAAAGGCCTGAAGCCTATAACTATCAACATTTATCAAAATTCATAGAGTTTCCTGAGGCTTGTTGTTTAGGAAGTGGATAAAGCTCAATACCTTCCACCCTCCAATATAAAGTGAAGAACTAATACCCTTGTCCTTCCTCCTTAAGCTGAGAACAGCCATGATCAATGGAGAAACTGGTTCTCTGTCTATGGAAGTGAAGGTGCCACTGGACAAAGGGGTAAGGTAACAGGGAGAGAGCCTGGGTCTAATCATAGGAAGGCAGTCTTTCATTTAATAGAAGTTCGGATGGTGCAAGGAACTTTGACTTGATTGAATTAGAATTTAGGGAGACTGGAGGATTTGATTAAAGAGTATGCTTCAGAAACATCTCACAAAGGAGACACACTATTCTTTCTTTCTTTCTCCAAACCCACTATCATCAAGTCAATTCCAATTCATAGTGACCCCACAGGACAAAGTATTTTAAGGCTGGAAATCTTCATGGAATGCTTATCCTGCAGAATGATTGGTGGGTTCAAACTATTGACCTTTTGGTTGATGACTTCGTGCTTAACCACTTCATTCCAATGGCTCCTCTGCTGCCTGTCATTTGGGCATCTTATTGTTTATGATTTAAAGAGGGAAGTGGACTTTAATTTTGCAAATGGTGTGCAGCTCTTTTAGTCTGCAAATGTCACATGGGAAGATGATTAAAATATTATTCTCTAAAACTGATTTTTATCTACTGTACATACAGATAATCAGGAATCAACACCCTCATTGATATGACTACCTTTAAAGACTTGGATGTCATTTTTATTAGATTTTATTTTACTGAAATTTACAAATCTCATTTTTTTTTCAGACAATCAGTAAGTGGCAATATTTGCCATTAATTGATGCAACTGACTTATTACAATGTCTAAACAAACCCTCCTTGTATATATATTTTTTTACATTGTGTCTCATAAAACCAATCACCACTGATCTATGCCCACTACTACCCCATCATTTCAGATCCCCACTGAATCCAGTTTTAAAGATCACTCTATCTTCTCACTTAAAAGGTTCTAATGTATCTATGGAATTGTCATTGTCCCTTGACATATTTAAAAATGTCACCTCCTCCCTCACAGCCACCCCCACCTCCTCCTCCTGTTGCCCATCTGCCTCAGCTGAAAGCACACAGGCATCTGTCTGCAACAATTAGACTCAAGTTCTTCCACAAACATAGACCTCCATAGAAGCCAAACAAGAAAGCATTAGGAAGAGAAAACAGTATCTTGCACCCCTTTCAGACCCACAAACTTATTTTCACTGGGGCCAGAATCTGTGACATCTGATGATGTCCTAATGAGTTATATGACATCTGCTCGGCTCTTTTGTAAGAAGGGCCAACATCAGTGATGTTAGGCTGTAAAGGTGTATCACATCTCCTGATCCAAAAAATGTTCTAATACTATTTCTGATTTAAAAAAAAAAAAATCCTTGCAAGCACCCAATCTCACCCCAACCAGATACCTGCTTACTTGCTCAGGCCACTCTCAGCCAATTCAGCCTTGCTTTCATGTTACAGTGGAAAATGTACTATGCACATGGCATATGGCAACTTAAAGACAGATCTATGAATATGGCTGTAGCATATCTAAGGTGTCTGGGTGGTATAATTCATAACCTGTCAGGTTGCTAACCAGAAGGTGAACAGACAGAATCTACCAGTTGCTCCATGAAAAAAAAAGAGTCATCTTCTCTGTAAAGATTTACAGTCTCAGGAATCCAATAGAGAGTTGCTGAGTCAGAACTGACTAGGTGGCAATAGGTTGGTTTTGGGGTCATAAGTGTACTAGGGAGCTCTGCCAGCTTAGTGGTAAGGAATTGTACCAAAAGAAGAGGGCTGGCATAGATTGGCAAAGAAACAATGGTCTTGTCTGTCATCTCTGTGGGAAAGAGAAGGCATGTGGGAGACACAGAGAATTTAGTAAGGAACAAATTGTAGAATACTGGGGAAGAGTAGACTCAGAATAGTGAGAGGCTAGATGTCACTGTAGTGGCCTTCATGTCAGCAAAATGTCCTATATGCCATGTAGGTTCATCAACTTCTGGCCAAGAGGGCTGTTGTTGTGTACTGTTGAGTTGGAACTGACCCACCGCTGACACTCCAGTAGGTTTTCAGAGGTAGTAAAACACATGGAAGGAGCTTTTCTACTTTTCTTCTGTGGAGCAGCTAGTAGATTTGAACCATGTGCCTTTGGGTTGGCAGTGCAGCTCCTTATCACTAAGCCACCATGGAGTAGATGGAAACAATGAATTCTAAAGATAGAAAAGAAGTGCTATTCTAAAGAAACTCTTGGGTCATCTTTGAGGTTGGAGAATGGATTTAGAACTCATCAGGGCCAGGGCCACGGAGAGAATTCTATTCTTTCCCTTCCCTCAAAATATGGGCCAACCTGATTTCCAGTGGCAATTCCAGTTGGCAATGGTTTCCAGTGTTATATAATCATCATCCGTTTTATGTGCTGCTACAGTTATCCTATGTATTCTAAATCCTAACCACAATGAAGTTAATGAGCCAGGGCCAGTGGCAGTTATGCTAATGAGACAGGATTTAATCTATAGGATCAGGTCATATCTTGAGTCAACCTCTTTTGAGATACAAGAGATTAAACAAATGAGCAGAGGTCAGAGGGACCTACTACTACCAAGAAAGAAGAATGAGGAATAGAGCATGTTCTTTGGGCCTGGGATTCATAGGCTGCAAGGGAAAACTGATGCCAGGACACATGGAGATCTCCAAGGAATGCCAGGCCCACAGAAAGTGAGACAAAGACCTACCCCCAGAGAGAGTAGAGACAAAGCCTGCCGCTAGAACTGGCACTCAGGTGGTGCAATGACTACTAAAACTGTTAACCAAAAGGTTGGCAGTTTGCACCCAGCAACACCCCAGGGGAAAGATGATGCCATTTGCTCTGCAATGATTACGGCCTAGGAAACCCTATGGGGGTCTATCTACTCTCACATGGAGGCTGCTATGAGTCAAAGTCAACTTCATGGCATCAAAACACAACATAGTATGTCTGAATGGTGCAAATAGTCAAGTGCTCGACAGTGAGCTGAAAGGATGACTATGTGGACCCATCCCAGAAGCACCTCAGTAGACAGTCCTAGTGACCTGAGTGTGATCTGACTTTGCACACATGGAGCTACTAGGAGTCAGAATCCACTCAACACCAACAAACAATCACAACACAGTCATTCTCTTACGGACCAATTTATAAAGTGAGTATAGTCTGTCTTTCATCCTTTTCTTCCATTCTTCTGTGGCCTCGTGCTGCCTTCAAATGTCTCAAAGCAGAATCCTAAGCAGAGCCAGGACAGCCGGAAATACCCCTAAAACCTCTGTTTATCCCTTTAAAATGTGTTCATTGGTGCCGATAAAACCACTCAGGTAATATAGTTACAATTCAGAAAAGTCTTCTAGAACTGTGCTTGTTTAAACATAAAGCAGTGACAATGATGCTCATCGCCATGACCATGGTGGGTATTTCATAGCGTACAGGTGGTCATACTTTACTACTAAAATTCCTGTTCTTTTTTTAAATTTTATTTTATTAATTTTAATGAATATTTACCATCTTCAGGTAAAATTCCTGTTCTTAACTGCCATAAATGCAACTTTGGCAGAAGCAACCCTATGCACAAGACAGTGATACTCTGCTAAATTCTACACCATCTCCATGAGCAGCTATAGATCAAACCATGGGGTTCGGTAGGCTTTTCACAGACTGATTTATAACTAGTATATCACTAGGTACCTCTTCTTAGTTCCCTTTCCGCTGAAAGCTCTGCTGAGCATCTGTTCAGCATCAGAGCAATGCTCAACCAACCACTGGCACATGGGAGATGACTACGTATGAGTACACTGACTGGAAATTGAACCCAAGTCTCCACACAGCAGGTGAGAATTCTCCCACTGAACCACCACTGCCCTTTTTACTACTAGCAGCTGATATTTATTAGAAACTGGGTTAAGCATTCTAAAAACATTTGCCCCTTTAGCATTCACAACCCTATAAAATAGGTACGAAAAACTTGTCTAGTGTCATCCAGGAGACAAACTGCAAACTCCACATGGATATGATGTTAGAAGATTGATACATTAGGCCTTTCTGTATGATTGTCTTAGTTACCTAGGACTGCTCTAACAGGAATACCACAAGCAGATAATTTTAACAAACAGAATACTATTTTCTCATGATTCAGGACAGGAGGAGTCTGAATCAAGTGAATCATCTTGAATGAGAGATACATTTAAATTGTTGTTTTCAGGTGGGGGTTTTTATCCCACTGGCTCTTCCAAGCCCATTTGGAATAGAGCAGGTAAATTCAAGCAGAAAGTCACAGTTTTATCATCTTGAAGTACCAGAGAACAGACTGTGGACTGCCTTATCTGGAAATGAGGAAGAATACCCAGAAACAAGACAAATACCAAGGAGCTACAAAGAATATGTATACATTAATAGCAAAAGTCTAACAATCCAATGGGCAAAGTACTTGAATAGACACTTCACAAAGGAAGATATATACAGGATGTCCACCAAAAACATAAACAGGATGTGCATGAAAAGATCCTAAACAGAACTAATCATCAGGATACATGAATGAAAACTCACCAAGAGATTACATTTCACAGCCTTTGCAATGACTGACATTTATAATCACCAGATTTGCTCCTTACTATCCCAGAACACTTGATCATGCTTATGCGAAACCTATACCAGGAGGCAGTCATCAGAAAAGAGCAAGGAAGATGGTTCAAAATTGGGAAGGGTGTACACCTGGGATGTGTCCTATCTCCATACCTTTTCAATCTATATTCAGAATGGATTATTCGGGAGGCTGGGCTCTAAGAGAAATGTGGCATCAGAATTGGAGGAAGGTTCCTCACCAATCTGTGTTATGCAGATGACACAATCCTACTTGCAGAAACTGGGGAGGACCTGAAGCACTTGCTGCAGAAGGTCAATATGGATGAAGCTCAGTATCAAGAAAACAAAGATAGTGCTCGCTTCGGCAGCACATATACTAAAATTGGAACGATACAGAGAAGATTAGCATGGCCCCTGCGCAAGGATGACACGCAAATTCGTGAAGCGTTCCATAAAAAAAAAAAAAAGAAAACAAAGATACTCACCAGTGGGCCAACTGGCAGCATTGTGATGGACGGTGAAGGGATTAAGG